GGTTTGTCTTGGTTTCGTGGCCACAATTTAACGTAGTTCATTTGATTTCGAAAACACCTGCTTTTTAGTTAAACAAATTGTAGCTTCTGCCATTTATTAAATTGGCCATCTATGGTTACGCTATCTACCCTAAGTGGCATGTGTTTAGTCCAGCGTGGTCCTTAATTTCGTTTTCAAAATGGCACGATCTGCCACTTCTTTCGCGTAACATCCATATTGGTTCAACCGGTCAGTGATATTAGTTCATCGGATTTTCCGACTAACTTTTAAACCAACTCCCTGCTGCCTTTAACTTCAGCAAAATCAACGGAAAAGCAGACGGAAGCAGGGGGCGGTGTCTTCAGCTTTCGCTCCGTCCTCTCCGACATTCAGAATGAGGCTAACGCAAATCACGGCTCCAATCTGTTTTCTGCGCTCGACAGTACTGACGCGTCAGCATGCCGCAGTAAACTCTGGGCAAACGCTTCCATTGGCTCCAAAGCAGCACCCGTCTCCGGCCTCTTTGCTCCTCCACGTCTCGGTATTGTTGTGACTCCTCCGAAGGTTAATCCACCTTCCGATGGTTTGTTTACCACGTCGGCTGCCTTGCAGCCGGCTGGCGTGGGCTCAAAATTCAAGGAGGCGGAAGCTTTGGATTGTCTTAAGAGATGTATGGCATCACCCGAGGATGATGAACTAATGCGAATTTTGGCAGGTTTGTTCTCATTCAGACATAATTGTCCCTTAAAACGTTCTTTTTACTGTCACAGGTTGTGCAGTGGACTATTTCTTACCCGACTTCCGATCTACCTTCTGCACAAAGTACTGTAAATAATTTAGACACACACATAGCCGCTCTCTGATCGCGAGAGCTGGACGCCCATAGCACTGTTGCACGAACTAACTTTATTTATAAGTCTAAGTCGATCTTATCAGACACATTCTAATTTTTCTCTTGTACTCTTGACGCTTTTCACGGTCACCTAGTTAACTGCACTCATATTTTATCTAATCTGACAGCTGTTCGGTTCTAGACCTCAAGCTGCACGGTCTGTCTTCTTCATGTCTCCTCCTGCACCATTAACGTGCTACCCGTTATCATTAATGTCTCAAAAAGACCATATTTTACTGAAGTTAATTTCGGAAGATAACGAACATGCGTTTGTTTTCGATAAATTATCGTCAGGTCTTTACACTTTTAGTGGTCCATGTAGTGTTTGTGCCTAGATCACTACGATCATCAGGCCGAATCCCAGGTTGGAGGGAAAAGGCAAAAGTCACCAGAATGGCCCTATCTGCGCATGTTTGAGACTGTTCTTCGATTACCTATGATTAAGGATTCAAATAAAGTCCTTGTTCCAGTGATCGCATCTTCTTCTAATGAGTAGTTTATTGTATACAAAACTCCCAGTTACAATCTCAGGTGGCTGACTGGCTAGTAGCCCTTGTTGGATCCGGAGCCCCGCCGCGTGAGTACCAATCCCGGCGGCGAGGAGGAGGAAGAGGAGTCGGAGCAGCATGGTCGGGAAGGGCTGCTCTGTCATCAAAAACACAGATGGAGA